TTGTCCTGCACCCAAAACTTTTGTACCGCATGTAATTTCCAATAAAACAGTGTCTTATTCATGAATCAACCAGTGGTACCAAGTATTCATATGTATTGCAATTTATTATTTAGAATACGTATAACTGACTAGCAAAATACAGACATTAGACTCCTTTCCCTATTCGTTTCCCTACTCCTGCTTTCACCTATTTTATTACGTATAAGAATTTTCATACACCCATAAACCTGATTCCAGTCATTGTCTTTCAATTTTCTAAGACAAAATTTGAAGTAAGTCATCTCACCGGTGGGATATAGACGGCTTTCATATTCGAAAAACATCGGCACCTTGTCAAACGTAAACAGCATGACCGTCCTGTCGTTAAACGTCAATACTTTGACGGTGGATACCTCACCAGACCACATGTTTTCTGCAGCTGTTTCTTTTAAAGAGGGAAATACTTCGAGAAATTTCGACCTGTAGCTTTTCCTTAACAAAGACAAAACTAGAACAATAACGACAAAACTAAAATAGCATTATATCACTTAAGAATGAATGTAGCTAGGCTTTAACATCACTGCGTTAAAGTGTTTAAAAATTGCTTCTGGTGTCAGCATTACTCAAGTCAACAGCTAAAACTGCTGTTAGCGGCTATTATTTTGATCACTTTGCCGAAACGGAGCCTACAACGCATAATGGACTGAATTATAGGGATAACGCCATATGACGACCAACAGTCTAGCAAAAGACAAAGTCGAAAAAGTTAAAACGTCTCTCACCGTAAACTCACCTACATAAAGTTCGCTAGGTGAAGGTAGTTTCATTGTAAACAAAAAACACATGCACGTCAATCAGGAAATCTGTGCAGCAAATTATTATGCAATTGAGCTGAATTTTGTATTGAGTGGACCAAGTTTCTGAAGAAAGTCAACCCTGTTAATAAATCTTGATAAAAAGACTTATTTCACCAGATTACCTTTTGGCCATCGATCCTAGCAAAAGAGACAGTTCATCTGAGCTTCAGTTCAACTTGACTTAACTATGGTTAAAGTCTGAACACATCACAGCAAGAAGGGCAAGGTGGTACCATCCTTGACGGCAATCGTAAATAGCATGATACCGCTACCATCTTGGTAAGAATGCTCCGTGTGACCCCTTGTCTTCAATAATCATGACAAGGATGGCCTTAATAAAAACTAGGTTTGGTGTTCTTCATAAAAGTGTCTTCCGGTTGAGATCAACAAGCCTCAATATGGCATCCAACAGAGCTTTCTTGTTTCCCGCATCCTACTCCAGAACTAGAAACTAAGCCTGGTCGATTCCGACAAGTATACGCGAATACTTAAAGGCCGAGATACACTGCAACTAAAACTAATCGTTCGTGGCAATGAAACTTTAACCAAACTTGTCTATGCAAAATATATCATAACTAGTAGTTTATCTACGACGACCAACTAAGCCTAACTTTTCATCATGAGTCCATAATACTTTCCCTTTTATTGCACGTTAAGCCTTGCTGGATCTGCTTTAAAATAACCTGGAACTCCGCACACACAACTCAATGAATAAGATTTTGAATTCAGCAATCAATTAGTTATGTCTCTGGGGGGGGGGTGGTCAAGTTGGTCGATAAATCTAAGCACGGATTTATTAGTTCCATTTTCAAGGTTTCTGCTGTTTTAGTACTTTTCGTTTCAGAGACAGCTTATTTATCAGTTTCACTCAACTAGACAAATCAAAAGTAATCAATTAACAGCAACAGATTAAGTACGAAGTTAATATAGCTTACTTAATGGAAGACTTAAGCGGCGCATTCTTTTTGACGCAGAATTTTCTTCGAAACATTTTGGCTTCACGGTGTCCCGACAATCAGGAAAAACGCTTTAAACAAAAAGCATTGAACTAGTATCTAATTCATAATAGATATTTAGCCCGGTATTACGGGTTTAGTACTAAATTGTTCAATATCGATACCGCAGCAAAAAATAATCACTTTTCCGATTCGACATGCATAGGCACCTGTATCTGACTTCTATTAGCTTCAGGGATTGTTAGAACCTGCAGTAATTTTCACAGATGCAACAAAAATTATGGTGCAATTTTGACCCCTGTACTGCAGGTGCTAAAACACCATAGAATTATGAATTGCATAAACGATCCTCAAGGCTACTAAAAGCAAGGAGACGTCACGACAGCCTGTGTGAATTTGGAAAAATGACAGATTATCTAATTCGTGTTAAAGCTGTCTTAAGTAGGCTATACACAGCAAACATAAACGAGTATCATAATAAATAAATTAAACTGATCCCAATATTTATACTCAACAGCATGAGTGAAAGACTGAATAACTAAATCAGTAAATGAATGTGTAATATTTAGCGTGAGCTAGAACTTCTTCAGATATAGTTAATCTGAGTTGTTTTTAATGATTCAGAGAATAGCGGATACGAAAAAAAATCCATTACTCTTTACTGAAGGGTTAATAAAAATAATGACTAGAAATGCTCCCACCAATTTATAACAGCCTTTTCATTTTTATCTTCCTAGTCAGATTCACTTTAAACACATAAGATAGCCTATCAGTTCATGATATCATTGTTTCAACTGCTAACTGCCTCAAGGCTCATTCCGGGTCTTGCTTTCACGGGCCAGAAAGATACACTCCACTGATCTTCGCTTTGCACATACCCGCACTTGGAGAACAGGCCGCATTATTACTGTATTGATGAAGAGAATTGATTCCAATATTTAGCATCTAGAAAAGTGCAGTTCAACATTACCATTGCAAATTGAAAAAAACAAGAACCACCTTTTTGCCGTTTGTCAACGGAAGCCGTTAGCTTTAATCACCACAAGCGGTTAGCACTAGGACTGTTGCACCCATAAACCATGTCATTATGGTGATGGTGTTAAATCATTCCAAGGTCTGCAAGTTTACTTGAAGAAACCGTCTTATCCGTGTGCTACATGTTCTTATACTTTGACCGAGCGGAAATAGCGATGGCTGGATGTGAAGATGTGGTAGGAAGGAGCCTCTATTCAGAGCCTGACTACATGAATAGGCACAGCGGTTCTCCGACAGCTAGGTTACGAATGTAACGTACCGCTGTAATTCTGCGATAGCTGCGTTTCAAAAAACGAAAACAACTCGATTCTGCATTTCGGTCTATTTTATTTTGTCTTTAACAAACAGCTCTCGTCGGGACTTGACATTTTTATATAGGTGACTCATGTATAACTCGAAAAAAACGCACTACTAAAATTTCATAATCACCAATATACTAATTAAAAACCAGAAAGTTCATAAAGGTACACCTGTTCAAAAACTCATCGTAATGTTTAAACC